CCTTCCAGCCCCCCTGGGGGCCCGGAGCTAGCACGCCCACCCCCCGGGGGAGGGAGGAGGTCTGGCGACGCGCGGCGTGTGCGGAGCCCCGACGTGTGGGGCCTGGCGGCGGGAGAGGGAGGGTGGGCTCGGGACGGCCGGCCGGGCAGCCCCCGCGGGCCGTGGGAGTGCGGGCTGTGGTGCCCCCCCAGCGCTCCCCGCGTGCGGGCTCTCTCTCCTCCCACTGCGGGCTCCGTGACAGCCAGCGGCCGGTTGGCTGTCACGGCGGCCCTCGGTTGGCCCTTTCCTGCTTTATAGCGTGCAAACCTCGCCGCTCCAGGGCCAAGGGACAAGTTGGAGCTGTTGATCTGTTGCGCAATTGTTCTTTTCCCCAGAGCGTCTTTGTCTTTGGATTTAGCGTTTCAGACTTGCAGTTCCAAAATGTGTCAGGCAGGATATTCTGTTCTGTGCTGTCCAGGGTAAGAGCCGCGAGTGTAGATTAGAATTTCTATAGCTTTGGGGGTGCTATACAGTTCTCTGATTTCAACTATTTGTTCCCCTTGTGTGCTTTGTGTGTATATATATATTTCTCCTTTTCTATTTGAAAGTTTGCCTCAATTTCTAAGCATGTTGCCTTATTTATTTATTTTTTTGGCAAGGGCAGAGGGTGGGACACTTGTGTCTCAATGTTTTGCTCACAGTTCTGTAAATTGTCATAAAAAGAAAAAAGTTTCTATTTAAACTTCATGGGAATTTTTAAGGGCACGTGTATATTTACAGATTGTTTTTTTCCTTGTAATTGAAATAAATATTTGACTCAAAGAAAGGTGTTACTTGATAGGCTAGTCAATGTGTTATGTTTGTAAATATGATGTCTTAGGCTGATCCTGGGTGTCTAATGCAAGCTTATACGTTATTGACGATGTGTTGTTATTTAATTTGCTGTTCTTTGCTTTAAGGTGATTTGTCTTGAATGTCCCTCAATGATGACTGGGTGTGTATCCGACTGGTTCCCACCAGTATGAAAAAGTAAATTCCTCTTTCCGACTGAGATGCTGTTCAATTGTAATCTATTGGAATACTTCTTTGCTCCAAAGGATAGATGAGCTAATGGATTTTAGCTTTCCTAAATACAGGAATTATAGCCTAATACCCTCTCTTAATTTTAAAAATTCCTCCCTTTATTGTGAACATTCCATATACAAAACTGTACAAAGTGTATTGTATTGCTTTCTCGGTGGCTTTTTACAATTATGATGGATACAATTACTGCATTTCCATCCTTGTTATTAGGAGAGTGCATGTTTGAAGACTATGAAAAAAATGGAGTAACTTCCTAATTGGTTACATGTTTATTACTTTGACATAATTCATGTTCAGTGATTGTAGTCCCAAGAGATTTAAACTGAATTGAAAGTGGATTCTGACCATTTGTCAACGAAAACTCCAGCTGTGAAGCTATTGGGGGCATAGTCTTTCACTTTGTAGAGAGGAGGTGTTGATGAACAGGGCTTCCCAACCCATCCTAAGGGTGCCTTGGAGAGAGAAAGTTCTTTTGAAGATGAGGGATGAAGCTGATGTTGGATTAGACTGACAAAAAAATTTTTTTTAAGTCTAACATGAAGAGAAAAAGAAAATTGGTCTCTCCTGTCCTGAATGAATGTTAAGCAAAGAGCAACTTGGCTTTTGAGATATGTGAAAAAAATCTCTTGAGAGCGTCGAAGCAGCATGTGATATAAGCTATGTTCAGCCTACAGGTCTTGTTGAATCAAAAAATACCTTGGCCAATTTGAAGTCATCCTTTCTTGCTAACTAGAGTTCTTATAAACAATACTTGGAAAAAACACAGCTGTTTGTCTTTAGGGTTGCCAGGAAGAGTTGAAAGTCAAATATATTTTTCTTAGTATTTTATTTTTTATTGAAGATGAGTTGTTGAGTTATACTTCTTAAAGAAGGTTTTGCATGAGTTATCTTTAATTTCTGCTTGAACCTGGGTTAATGTTACAGTGCAAACTCTTGTGCGTAGAAAGAATTTGGCACAAAGATGATAATAGATAAAGTTATCATGGGGCACTTCCCTGTCTGCCAGGCAGTGTGGCAATTGTTTCACATTCATAATTTCACAGTAACCCCATGGGAATACTATTATCTTTGATTTCCAGGTGAAAAAGGAGCTAGAGAGAGGGAGAGGCCAGGATTCCTGCCTAAAGTGACTCAAACATTGAGTGACAGAGGCAGTGTTTAAACATGGGCAGTCTATCTCTGTTGGCTTTTAATCATTTCCGAACTGGACCATGCTTATTGCTACAGAAACAAACACACCGAATTGAGTCGGCAGCAACCCTATAGGACAGAATAGAACTGGCCCTGTGGGTTTCTGAAACTGTAAATCTTTATCAGAGTAGAAAGCCTCATCTTTTTCTCTAGGAGCAACTCGTGGTTTTGAACTGCTGACATTATAGTTAGCAGCCCAAGGCATAACCCACTATACTACCAGGACTCCTGCCTTGTTGTTAGGCACCGTCAAATTAATTCCAACCTAGGCTGTCATCATGATGGGAGCAGATCACCGGGTCATTGTTTCCCCCTGGAGCTTCTGGTGGGCTCGAACAACCGACCTTTTGGTAAGTAGCCGAGCGCTCAACCACAGTGTCACCATGGCTCCTTGATCCTTGGAGAGGGGATAAACCCAGAAAACCTGGTGGGAGAGGAGACAAGAATTAAAAAGATAAACGTCCTCACTTTTTCCAATTCCAAGGCATTTGGTAACTCTGCATGTGGTTGGGGGAGATGGACCTTGTTAGATACCTGAGAGTAAACACAACCCGTCAATGGAAGGACCACACGTGGCCCTTTTCAGGCAGACATAAAGGCCTAAATGGGTTCAGTTGAGAAGGGCACTGCCATTTCTTAATATAATAATAGTTGGGTTGTCTTTTGTTTGTTTGTTTTTTAATTTCTGGAATTTCAGCAATGCTTATGAAAATGCTTCACAGTTTTTAGGGCCCACTTTTCATTAAGTCTCCGTGGCAGGATATTGTGTGCATCGTGTTTGCCTTCTTAGTTGGTACACTCTCCTGTCCCGTTGGATCTTTTTATATTTTTATTTTAAAGTAGTCATCCGAGGTCAAGTAGGAGGTAAGAATACGATGAAGAGCAGGACAAACTAAACCAAACTCGTTGCCGTCAAGTTGATTGTGGCTCACGGCAGCCCTGTGTCTTCCAAAGAAGACTTTTTTTTTTGGGGGGGGGGCGCGTTGATTTTCTTTAATCGTTTTAATAGTTACAAAGTTACAAAAATTTACCTCCTATTCAATAAATTTCTTATTTAACATTCTAATCACCAGATTCTTTCCCTGAAGAAGACTTCTTGACTGTCATTATTGTGGCAGGAATCCTTGGGTCGTGTGCTTGGTTTCGCACTTGACAATTACCCCACCCTCACCCAGAAGCATCACAGAAGTATAGGCTGGCAGTCTGCTTCGGAAAGGAAGCAGTTCTACTCTGTACACAAGGGGTCAACTCACAACATCAAACTTTATGGATGGCCAGGTCTTTTCTTTTCCAGCACAGCTAGGTGGGGTCCCACGGTCAACCTATAGGTGAGTAGGCGAGCACAAACAGGGTTAACCAGGTCGAAGGGAAGTGGGTGGGATGGGAAGAATATACGTTGACTATAGCTAACAGAAACCTGTTGGCTCAGATGGACAACTAATCCCCTATTTGGGCACTTTGTGAATGGAAACCAGGGTGAGGACTAAAGCATGTCTAATTGAGGATAACCCAGGGCTTTGAAAACGGTACATATCAAAATTAAATGTATTTTATTTCGTAGTTTTTATTGCTAAACAACTTGTATTTGGTAGTATTGCTTTATTGGTCTAAGTATGCTTCGGAAGTTTTCAAATCCAATGGACGAGTTGCCTGGCTAAATCCAGGCTATTTAAATATTCATAAATGCCTCACCTCGCTGCTTCTGAAAGCTTATTGATACCTCTTACAAACTAGGGTGTAGGAGAACAGCGATACTAAATGCAGTATGTAACCTGTTCTTTTCATCGTTGGTGGTAGAAATGCATGTATAAGTTTGCTATGATATCGAGAATAGGGTTTATACTTTGATAATTTGATATCTAAGAGTTAGGGAAATTTTCACTGCCACCTGCTTTTTTTTTTAGATTATTTTATTGGGGGCTCTAACAATTCTTGTTACAATCCATACATCAGTTGTATCCGACATATTCGTACATATATTCCATTGTTCTTTTCTAGACATTTGCTTTCCATTGAGCCCTTGGAATCAGCTCCTCTTTTTTTATCCACCCCCCCCCAACTTGCTTCTTAACATAAGCTCTAGTAAACATTTAAATATTTACTAAAAGGGGTCTGTGGTTTAGAATACGACTTCTTCGCTTCATAGTAGTTACTTTTCTAGAAACAAAAGCAAAAATATGTTTAAGAATATCATTTATATTCCCATTTGGTATTAGAAATACAAGGGGGCTTCAGAAAGTTTGTGGAACTTTCATTTTAATGCTATTTTTCCACAAAGTGTTTGAAGCCCCCCTCATAAATGCATGCTATTACATTAGCCTCCCTTTCTTGTACACCCCTCGCCACCCACCCGCCACCGCACTGCAACAAAACACGAGACTTGGTATGACACTGTTAAAGAGAAGTCCTATCCCATCTAAATTTGGATTTGGTGTGTGCCAGCTATTGCCACAATAACCATTAATATGAAGAATATTGGTAGCTATAAGAGTGGGAAGCATAATTAAGTGAAATTTTCAAGGCACAGTATCTGTGCTTTGAAGTCTGATCTTTGAAAGCCAGCGTGTGTGTGTGTGTGTGCTTGTTTGCACACACACGGCAGTTCATTTGGCTCAAACTCCGGTTTGAATGGAGAAAAGATGCGTGGAGACAAATCCGGGCGTCAGAGGCTTTAGAGAACCAAGTCCACTTTAAAGGCCCTGTTGAGAAGTGGCTCCTCGGAGTCATCGCGGCCCACCAGCAAGCCTGCGCTGCGAAGGATCGAAGGATCGGCAGAGCGCCTTGGGCAGTGCTGAGGACGCCCTTCTTTCCACAGGCTGGGAAACCCAGACGTGCGGGTGGGAGTGCCGCCCAAGCCAAGCTCCCCTTTGCTTTTTCACGGCAGAGAAGAATCAGGAAAAGAAAAATATGAGATCACTTTAATGCCTCTTTCTGAGCTTATGGATTTTGTATTTTGTGTTACTTTGGGGTCAATTTCTTTAGTTGCCTTTAAACTCTTTATGGATACAAATTAGTATGAGACCATTTGTTCACCCCCCAAAAGAAACATACCTTGTGAGCAGTTACCCCCAACCTTCAGCCCAAGACAACTACCAATCTACTTTCTGTCTCTAGAGCTGCCTGTCCAGGACATTTTTTGGAAATGGCAACATGTTACCTCTTGTGACAGACAGGAGCCATCTTTCGCCTAACGTCCTGCTTTCCCACGTGGTCTATGTGGTGCAGTGATAGCCAGTGCTCCTTAGAAGCAAGGATGGCAAAACCTCGCCTCCTGTGCTTTAGACGCAACAGAGGGACCCATCCCTGGAGAGGGACAGTAAGCTTGTACAGCGGCGGGCCAGCAAAAGACGAAGGCCTGGCAAGATGGATGGGACACAGTGGCCAAAGCAATGGGCTCAGCTATCCCAGCAATGACGAGAATGGTGCCGGACCGGGCAGGGTTTTGTTCTGTTGTACGTAGGGGTGCTGTGAGATGGACCCCGTTAGATGTCACCTAACAGCGGCCACAGGAGCCTGTGCAGGACTTAGTACAATACAACCCGCAAAAGCCAGAACCCGTGCGAGACAGGAACTTGGGCGAGAAGGAAGATGCAAATCTTTCCCACCACAGTGAGCTGTAGAAAAGTGAACTGACTGGGCGCTGTCAAAGGCAGAGTACGTGGCAGGCCCGGAAAATGCAGGCAGCCCTGCACCTGCCTTTCCCTCTCACAGGCTTCAATGTAAGCTTTCGAAAAACCTGGTGGGGATGGTTTACCAGAATCCTGTTAAGGAAGTGCCTTTCTATTTGATCACTGACCTTCACAACTTTATGATTAACACCTAAACCTGTGCTTTAAGGTGCCGGGCGTATGCTTGAAATTCAATAAATACAACTTGAGCTCCTTAATCCCTTGTGGAGATAGGTTTGATAACTGTGTATTCCAAAGGCTTCTCCCAAAATGAGTCAGAATTTCCCCCGGCTTTTGTCAGGAATGTAGGTTGATCATCTGCAATCTAAAGTGCTCACGGAAGAGGCAGCGTGACAGAAGGTTCTACATAGGTGTGCATGACACTTGTTCCCCGTGACCAACCATGCTTTCAAAGGACGGAGGCCTGCAGGCTAGGAGAGGAGACTGCCCAGGGCTCTGCACTGACTTCCCCTTGACTTTTGACACACTCCCTGCATTCCCAGGGTTCATTTTTCGCCATTAAAAAGCAAAGGCAATAAGACCTGTTGCCATCCCTAACCCCCCCCCCCTTGCAGGCACAGTAGAACTGGCCCCATGGGGTTTTCAAGGCTCTCCTCTGTAAGGAGGCAGATTCCAGCGCTTTCTTCCTGGAACACAGAATGGGGTCAGACCACTGACCTTTTACTTAGCAGCAGAGCACCTCACCGTTGCACCCACCCAAATCTAACCAAACTGCCCTCCGCTCAGCTCCTCCCCATAGCAACCCCACAGGAAGACAGAACTGTCCCCTAAGGTTCCCAAGGCTGGTTTGTATGGAAGCAGACTCACACACCTTTTCCCCAGCTTTATAGGACAGCTTTGAGTTGGAATCGACTGCTTGGCAGGGAGTTTGGAAGAGGGACCGAGACGTGGTAGTGTAGGGAAGGGGTCTGAAAGCCACAGGTGAGCTACCAGCACAGTCAGAGAGCTGGTGGGCACTGGAGCCAGGTGTGTGTGTAGGTCTTCAGAGCCCTTGCTCAGGACGGTGATCTGTCTTAGAGACCCACCTGAGCCCTGCTTTGGAGGGTGAAAATGCAGAGTTGCAGTCTGGGATTCATACATTCACAGCGGGAATGAGCTGGCAGGGTCAGTTGGTTCTTATTTTCCCCGGAACATTTGATAGTTACAGATTCCTTTTAATGCAGCTGACATAGCTAATCCTAGACTAATTCAATAATAATGTCATCCTAGGAATTCTCCCAAAGGTGGAGGTGTATGTAAATGAGGCCCTCCACTCATTTTAAATGTCCAATTTTAAAAAGCATTCCTATACAGAACTGATCACAATGACGGACACGTCACTGCACCCCATACCCCACCCTGAGGGGGACCAACAACAGAAACGTGGGGGAAGGGAGGCAGCAGCCAGTGTAAGAGATGAAAATAATAATAATTTGTCATTTATCAAGGGATTACGAAGACAGGAGAGGGGGAGGGAGGGAGAAAAAGAGGGGCTGATGGCAAGGGCTCAAATAGAAAGTAAATGTTTTGAAAAGGATGATGGCAACATATGTACAAGTGTGCTTGATATGATTGATGTACGGATTGTTATAAGAGCTGTAGGAGCCCCCAATAAAATGATTTAAAAAAAAAAAAGTATTCTCACAATTGATAGGTCCTGTGCATCCCACCAGCTGCCTCTT